TCCTAGAGGTTGTTTCCATGTCTGTCGCAATAACGCATAAGAGTATTATAGGATTAGTGAGAACATCTTGCATTAGGCGCCATTTTCATGCGTTCTTCATGTGGAATGTGTCATTCATGGTTTATTTTGGGCAACTAAGAGAGTTTAGTTTGAAGGGTACTTAATCCTCTGAGAAATGTCCACCATCAAGGGACATTTTGAGACATATAAAAGTGGTTTGGAGAAAAATATTATTTGGAAAGGTAAGGGGTAGATTAAATGTTTTAGAAGACGATATCAAAAGGCAGATTAATACTCAATGCCATTACAGTGGATGTTGGGTGTAAAGGGGAAGAGACGGAGGACCATGTACAGCATGTACTACATGAGAGGGGGTGCGTTTTTTCTCTTCCAACATTTATGCTCTGAGGCCAAATGTTTTGACCTTTCTCGCCCCACCACATGGTCCCCTCTACCCGAGCGCTGTGTAAGCCCCCGGCCTCCTCCTTACTCCCCCACGCTCCTCCCAGCAGAGCAGCTCACCCGCGACACTCTAATCTACTTGGAGAAGTGGAGTCCGGGTTTTTCCGCACGCAGCTCTTCTTCCTCCTCTCTCCTGCTTTTCATGATTCATCACTGTCATTACCCTCCTGCAGCGCACACGGCTGTCCTTGTAGCAGAGCCCGGACGTATTCACACATTCTGTCTCTTTCTGTTTGTCCCGACTGTGTGGATTTGCCCATTGGATCAGATTTATAAAACTAAACTTGGATTCAATGTTTAACGTGTTGGTGAAGAGGCAGTTTAGAAGTCTCTCCAGTTACTTACTTACTGCAATCTCGACAAAGCTGCTTAATCTCCACCTTCTCACTATCCCACCAGTGCTTTTCACTTTTGTATTCAAACATGTGCATCTCATAACAAAGCAGTATTAAACTGCCAAGACTTTGAGGAAATTGCTTTTCTTTTACCATGGAATTATCTGAGAAGGCTTCAGGCAGTATCCTCTTTAAAAAATAAAAACAACCATTACATCTTGCCATAAGCTTTCTCTATGAAACCCACTAATAAAACCTCTTGTAAACCACTGACGTAAGCTCAGCTAAATCAATTCTGCAGGTGTACATTTGGAGGTTGATGTAACCCAGAGTAAATGACTCATGTATTTAGCTCTGACTAATACTCTTCACTAATCAAGACTGATGGGGAAAACAACATAACGAAGAACAGGAGATAAGGTCCTGAGTCTTAATGCTGTAGTTCTTGTTTGATTCATCTGTAAATATTTAGCTCTTTCCCTTGTTGCTCATCTGGAATGGAATATGATTTGGGAGCAGCGCTTAATCTGTAAAACAATCCTCAACTTTAAACGTTATTGTGTTTTTTGTCTTTGTAAGTCATAAATCATTATTCTTTTCTTGCTTTGTTCAAACAGACTACAGGTGAGTTTGAGTCTCCTCACCCTGGTTATTTTTTTTTTCAGTAAAGAGATATTACAGCTATCCTTTTCCTCAATCAAATCCTCATCGCTGCTTAATACTGTATCTTTGCCACTAAAGCCACACACTACATGTAGAGTGTGCTTTTACTGTTATCTGATTCCTACTCTGTGTGAGGATTTGCAGTTCTCCCTCCTTCTCCTCCTCTTTGTTTTATGTTTGTTATTGTCTGTCTGTCTGTCTGTCTTCCTGGCTGGGTGTGGCTGACCCACTTCTGTTTCCCGCCAACTCACCTCCTCAGCTGTGGCTCATCATCCGGATTACTCGAATCACCTTCACCTGCATATATACCCGGTGCCTCCATCCAGTATTGACCAGTTCGTCAGTTAACCACGCTTTATCCATCTGCCTGCCACGTCCAGCCTCCGACTCCTCGTCTGAGTTTCCTCCGTGCTTCCATGCACACCAGCTCGAACCTGTCTGCTCTCGCCAGCTCTGAATCCCCGGCTCTCCTCACCTGTGTTCCTCCGTGTATCTCCGCACCTCCGCTGGTAACAAATCCTGGTCCGGATTATATGGACATTAATCCCTCCGTTATTCTCCGTAGGATTTGTTGGTTTAATAAACCTTTTACCTACTAAACTCTATGTCCTCTACCTGGTGTTCAGCATTTGGAGTTCAGTCCTGTAAACTCGTGAGAGCGTAACAGTACGAACTGGTCCAAAATGAACTCCGCTGACACTGGATCGGATCCCGCCGCTGTTCAACACGCCCTTTAATCTCAGGGAATTCTTATGGGCCCAGCAGATCCTTTTGAGCAGGAATTATTGGATTTTTCCCTTTTTTTGGCTAACTGCTCTGATCGATGGAGGGGAGCGTCCGGGGTTCAGCTGCGAGAGGCTGCTCTGGCAGAGGCGCGCCAGATGACTATGGAGAAACCAGACTTGGTGAAATTCCTACCTAGTTGGATTTTGGATTTCCGCTCGGTTTGTTATCCCCTGCCTGCTAGCCCCAGGCATGCTAGCTCCCTGCCTCCCAATTCCCATTTTGACACCACGCGCATCGGTGTGTTCCGTTTGGAGTCGGCCCTTGCTTCTGCCCCAGTTCCTGCTCCTGTCCAGGAGCCGTTCTCTGGAACTCGTCTGGCTTTTGGAGGTCCACGGGGCCTCCAAACGGCTCCTAAAAGGAGGAGTCGCAAGTCCAGGCTAGCAGCCCGAGCCCCAAGAGCCATGGTTCCGGCCCCAGTACTGGCCCCTACAGCCATGGTTCCAGCCCCAGTTCTGGTCCCAGCAGCCATGGTTCCGGCCCCAGTTCTGGCCCCAGCAGCCATGGTTCCAGCCTCAGTCCTGGCCCCAGCAGCCATGGTTCCGGCCCCAGTTCTGGCCCCAGCAGCCATGGTTCGGGCCCCAGCAGCCATGGCTCGGGCCCCAGCAGCCATGGTTCGGGCCCTAGTTCTGGCCCCGGCAGCCATGGTCCCGGCCCCAGTTCCGGCCCCAGCGGCCATGGTTCCAGACCTAGCTCTGGCCCCAGCTGCCATAGTCCCATCTCTAGTCCCATCTCTGGTCCCTTCTCTAGTCTCTTCTCAAGTCCCAACTCTAGTCCCATCTCAAGTTCCCTCTCGAGTCTCCTCTCCAGTTTCTTCTCAAGTCCCCTCTCAAGTTCCCTCTCCAGTGTCCTCTCAAGTCCCCTCTCAAGTCACCTCTCAAGTCTCTTCTCGAGTTCCCTCTCAAGTCATCTCTTGAGTTCCCTCTCAAGTTCCCTCTCTAGTCACCTCTCGAGTCCTCTCTCAAGCCCCCTCTCGAGTTCCCTCTCGAGTCCCCTCTCCAGTCCCTACTCTAGTTCCTACTCAAGTCCCAACTCAAGTCCCTACTGAAGTGCCGTTGGAGGTTCCGCTGGGGGTCCTGCCAGCTCCATGTCCAGTCCCGTTGGAGGTCCTGCCGACTATTCTCCTGCCGGGGGTCCTGCCAATCCTATGTCCTGTCCCGTTGGGGGTCCCGCCGACTACTCTTCTGCCGGGGGTCCTGCTAACCCTATGTCCTGTGCCGTTGGAGGTTCCGCTGGGGGTCCTGCCAGCTCCATGTCCAGTCCAGTTGGAAGTCCCGCCGACTACTCTCCTGCCGGGGGTCCTGCCAATCCTATGTCCTGTTCCTCTGGGGGTCCCGCCGACAACTCTTCTGCCCGGGGTCCTGCCAACCCCTTGTCCTGTTCCGTTGGAGGCCCCGCCATCACCTGTCTCGCCGGGGGTCCTGCCAACTCCTGGTCCTCTTCCGTGGGGGATCCTGTCGAAGCCTGTCCCACCGGTTCCTGTTCGGGCTCGAGCCCGGCCCCCTGAGAGCCGCGGGCTTCGCCCTTGAGCCCGGCCCCCTGAGAGCCGCGGTCTTCGCCCTCGAGCCCGGCCCCCTGAGTGCCGCAGTCTTCGCCCTCGGGCCGGGCCCCCTGACTCTTCCTGCCGCGGTCCTCGCCCTCGGGCCCGGCCCCCTGAGTTTGCCCGCTGTGGCCTTCGCCCCACCATGGACTCTGCCTTGCCCCCGGGCCGTCTGCCCGAGACCCCCACCTTGGACTCTGCCTTGCCCCCGGGCCATCTGCCCGAGACCCCCACCTTGGACTCTGCCTTGCCCCCGGGCCGTCCGCCCGAGTCCCCCTTCTCGGCTTCTGCCTTGCCCCCGGGCCGTCCGCCCGAGATCCCTTCCGGGTCCTCCGCTGTGCTCCTTGGCTGTCAGCCCAAGACCCGTCCTTCAGACCCCCTCCACCCACCCTGGTGGCCCTAGTTTGTCTTTTTTGTGTTTTGGTGTGGCCACATTTGTTACTAAATCACAATTGGGTCATTTATTATGATTTAGCTACATGTTAGAACACATTTCCTCTGCCTTGTAGTGAAAGCTTGATGTGGTTTGTGTCAGTTACACAGGATGTGGGAGTTTTGCTCCACCACTGTGTCAAAATGCATCTGTACAGCTTTCTAAGAACTGGACTGGTGTGTCTATGACTCATTATGGACTGGTGGGGATGAATCTGTTGTGTTTCTGCTGTCAGGAAGTGTTCAAATGTATTATATGATAAGATAATACTTTAATGATCAAGTCTGAAATTTGACTTGCATCACAGCAGCTCCATGTGTAAAATAGATAGACAAATATCAAGAAACAATACATGAAAAACAAACAACAAATGTTTAACATAACAGCACAATCACTGAGAGAAAACATGCTCAAAGACCCTTTACAGTAGCTCTGTATTTACTGTGAGGGTTGACTGATTCACAAAGCAGTGCTTCAGTCTGACTTTATTGAATCGTGGGACCCTGTATCTCCGATTAGATGGTAGTTCATATTCGCTGTTCAGAACGTGGTTTTGACCCGAGATGATGTCGTTGGACAGCCTTATTAGGTTGTTATGATAGGCTGAGTCGTAAAGTCTCTGACAGGGTTGACCAACAATCTGAGCAGATTGGAGCAGTTTTGATTTTAAAGCTGTTGACATTGCAGTGCTGTAGAATAGACAAAATCACGGATGTAAAGAACAACAGTTATGAGTGCTATTCTAGCGATGTTAATCCATGTCTCTCCTTTTGTGTTTCCTCAGACTTGCGGCGGATGACGGCAGGTTTCATGGGCATGGCGGTGGCCATCATCCTGTTCGGCTGGACCATCGGAGTGCTGGGCTGCTGCTGGGATAGAGGCCTCATGCAGTATGTGGCCGGCCTCCTCTTCCTCATGGGGGGTGAGTCACACTCTGGAGAGGTCGTAAACTGACTAGCTACGCTTATGCTACGCTAGGCTAACCCCTTTCCTATGTTAGCTCCGTGCTTTTGCGACCATTAGAAATGCTCAAACGATTACACAATTCCTGTGACAAGTTGGAAAGAAAATATAATTCTAATGTGGGAAAGTGTAGTAATTTCAGTGAGCATATCCAGCCACTGCATCCCTCAAGCACACACACACACACACACACACACACACACACACACACACACACACACACACACACGCGCAACCCTGTGTGTCCTAGTTTCTGGCAGTGGACAGTCAGTAGTAGCCTCACACACACATTGACATGCTGTGTGCTGGCAGAAGGCGACTGCACACTCAATTATGATGGGCTGTGGATTAGTGTTGTGCCCTACAGTTGTATAATGAACAGGCAATTAAAAAGTCAATTATTTTGCTTGGCAATAAAGGCACAAGAAATAGCCTGGGTCAGTCTGCAGTGGCCAAATCACTGCAAAGCTGCCCGAAGGGTCACAGCTCTCCCAAAATGAGGCCAAATGTAGCGCTGTATCTCCAAATGCTCCTACTAAACCCATTCCAAAGTAATAAATACATTCAGATGGGATAAAGTGGACTGATTACTAAATCGTTTTGCAATTTGAAAAGTAAGAGATGTCAGCGGTTTGGTGGCATGTTCTCCTTGAGATCTCTTGGGTTTTTGCCAAGAGTTAAGTGTAGCAGAGAGAAATTGGTCCACAATGTAACGCAGATCATAAATACCTTCAAGGAGAGAAGTGCAAGTGTGCACCATCGTTCTCATTAGCATTAACTATGGTATGCTTTTCACCAATTACATTTTCGGCAATAAACCACCATTTTTTGTGTTTAGTGGAAGATACATATCCATATATCTTTGTTTAATATGCATGAGGTCAACACTGACTTAAAATCACAAGCTGGCATGTGTTGACGTCCTCAATATTGAACCATATCAACATATTTTCCCATGGATCATTGAAGGATGTGACCTTGCACTAGATAACGAATAGATGCCAGGGTTGTCACAGATTGGGTTTAATTTAATTACATTACATTACATTGCATTTAGCTGACGCTTTTATCCAAAGCGACTTACAATAAGTACATTCGACCAGGAAGACACAACCTTGAAGAAAACAGAATCATATAAGTACATCAGGTTTCATAGAGCCAAACATTTCAAGTGCTACTCAACTGGCTTTAGATAAGCCAGTCCTTTATTAGTATATAAGTGCTTTGTTAATAATTCTATCGCTCGAAGTGGAGTCGAAAGAGATGAGTTTTCAGTCTGCGCCGGAAGATGTGCAAGCTATCTGCTGTCCTGATGTCAATGGGGAGCTCATTCCACCATCTTGGAGCCAGGATAGCAAACCCACGTGTTTTTGCTGATGGGAACTTGGGTCCCCCTCGCAGCGTAGTGCACGCGCTGGGGTGTACAGTTTAACCATGTCCTGGATGTACGAAGGGCCCGATCCATTCGCAGCATGGTAAGCAAGTACCAGTGTCTTGAAGTGGATTCTAGCAGTTACCGGAAGCCAGTGAAGGGAGCGGAGGAGCGGAGTGGTGTGGGAAAATTTAGGAAGGTTGAAGACCAGACGAGCCGCTGCATTCTGGGTGAGCTGCAGAGGTCGGATGGCACATGCAGGTAGACCAGCCAGGAGGGAGTTGCAGTAGTCTAGGCGTGAGATGACGAGAGCCTGGACCAGAACCTGAGTCGCTTTCTGAGTCAGCTGGGGACGTATCTTCCTGATGTTGTAAAGCGTGTATCTGCAGCAACGGGTTGTAGCAGCGATGTTTGAAGTGAAGGACAGGTTGTTATCTAGGGTCACACCCAGATTCCTTGCAGTCTGAGTCGGGGAAACAACAGAGGTGCTAATGTTGATTGTTAGGTCAAGAGTGGGACAATCTTTTCCCGGAAGGAAAAGCAGCTCAGTCTTGTCAAGGTTGAGCTTGAGGTGATGAGCAGACATCCACTGAGAGATGTCAGCTAGACAAGCAGAGATGCGTGCGACGACCTGGGTCTCTGAGCGGGGAAAGGACAGAATTAATTGGGTGTCGTCAGCGTAGCAGTGGTATGAAAAACCATGCGGGCTAATGACTGATCCGAGCGAGTTTGTGTACAGGGAGAAGAGGAGGGGACCAAGAACAGAGCCCTGAGGGACCCCTGTAGTTAATTGACAAGGGTCGGACTCAGACCCTCTCCAAGTTACCCTGTAGGTACGGTCTTTGAGGTATGAGGTGATCAGGGAAAGTGCAGAGCCTGAAACTCCAAGTTTTTGGAGAGTGCGAAGGAGGATCTGATGATTCACCGTGTCGAATGCAGCAGACAGGTCCAACAGGATGATGACAGAGGAGAGGGATGCTGTTTTGGCAGTGTGCAGTTCCTCCGTGACAGCAATGAGAGCAGTTTCTGTGGAGTGACCTGCCTTGAAACCAGACTGGTGCGGATCCAGAAGGTTGTTCTGATGGAGATAACAGGAGAGTTGTTTAAAGACAGCGCATTCAAGTGTTCTAGACAGGAACGGGAGTAGAGAGACAGGCCTGTAGTTTATAACATCAGACGGGTTGAGAGTGGGTTTCTTGAGACTGTTTGGAAAGTGACCAGAAGTTAGAGAAGTGTTGATGAAATGGGAGAGAAACGGTAGAATGTCAGGAGCGATAGCCTGAAGTAGGTTTGAAGGGATGGGGTCCAGAGGACAAGTGGTAGGGCGGGCAGAGGTAATGAGGGTGAGAACCTCACAGGGTGGAGAAGATGGAAAATAGTTTTTTGGATGGAATTGGATATGGAAATGCTTTCTGACATGGCCAACATTTTATCTCACATGCCTTCCCAGATATATCATTCTGTCAAGGACAACATGAAACATGGCCACTATAAGCTAGTGAGAAAAAACAATAAAACCCTGTCCTAATGAATTAAAATCCAGCATCTTTCCTTTTTTCTCTTGTAGATGGGTTAAATATCGACAACTTTTCCACAACCTGTACTTCTGTCTCTGTTTACTGGTGGATTTCTGCCATGTCATAGGTGTATCCTATAACATTATCTGACAAAAGTACGCTTTTCGTAGCCAAACCGGTTGATAGTTTTGATGGTTTGCCAAAACGATTGACTGGAAACAGGACTCATTTGTCAGAGTCTTAAAGGTCACCTATTATGCAAAATCCACTTTTTCATGTCTTTTCTACATCATGTGTCCCCTCAAAGTTTCAGGAAAAAAGATTCGCTCACTTTTTTTCCTGATCCATTTATATAAAAACCTGTCTGAAAATGAGCTGATCAGATTTTTGCCACTTTATGATGACATAAAAAATGTTTTGGCATATGTAACCATTAGCCAATCACCAACCAAGGTACCCCCCCCCCCCCATAGATCAGATCAGAATACCTTTATTATTGTACTGTAACATTTGCATCGTTACAGCAGGAAAGAGCCACAGACAGCTTAATGTTACATATGTTAAAAAAAGTACTAAGTTATGATATAATAAAAAATATAATAAAAAAAATAAATCACCTGAATCTCCTCCTAGAGCACCATTGTGTTCTTTTTAACCAAATATCTCTCAGAGGGGCGTGGGGAGTGGCTCCTTATTTTCATCTAAATTAAAAGACAGAGAATCAGCACTTTTGAAACAGGGCTGAAACAGAGGGGTTTATGGGAAGCTACAATGATCTGTTTGGTATTTGGAGCCAAACACTTCAGAGACATGTTTTGTATATATCTGAGAGCTATAATAAATGGCTGAAAAACAGTATAATAGGGGACCTTTAATGTGTTCCTTCAACGTTCTGTTTTGTCTTTGCAGGAACGTTCTGCATCATCTCCCTCTGCACCTGCGTTGCCGGCATCAACTTCGAGCTCTCCCGTTACCCAAGGTACCTTTACGGCCTGCCTGATGACATCGGCCACGGCTACGGCTGGTCCATGTTCTGCGCCTGGGGGGGTCTCGGCCTCACCCTCATCGCTGGCTTCTTCTGCACCCTGGCTCCTTCTGTCCAGCCCATTCCCCGATCCACCTGCCCCAAATCCAGACAGGAGAACGGCACCGTCTGCTAAAGCTGACAGCGTTTTCGACGCCGATAACAAACAGAGAAACTGTTCCACATCTTCATCCTTCCACTCATCTCCAGTCTTTCCTGGTTACAGATTTCTTTTTTTATTTGTGTGTGTGTGTGTGTGTGTGTGTGTGTTGGGTGTCTTGATGATTTTGAAATTAACAGAAAAAACACTGAAGAACTAAAGAAATATTATCAAAAATGTGAAGTTGTGCTTGTTTTGTTGTTGTGGAGCAGACACCGAAATGGACCTTGACCAAGAAAAAGGTTTCGAAGGGAGATATGTGGAGACAATGAAGGACTACATTTTGGATTGGTGATACCAAGAGGGGCTTTCGACCCCTGAAGGTGACGGACATTAGTGTTGAATCTGGGAACAGCTTCTATAAACTGGCCTACTGTGAGTGTGGAGAACTCAATAACTCAACAGTATTGGACGAAACAGTTTAAATTGTTAAGATCAAGTTTCTGTTGGATTTCTTGGAGCCTCCTTTGGGATAATTCACAAGGGAATGGACCAGACTTGAAACTATTTGACTTGCTTGGATCATGTTAAGTGGCCATCTGTTCGAGTATCTATGGTCCCTAAAATTGGGACATGCGAGCAGCGAGGAGACCCAGGACTTCCACTGTTGTACAGAATATTCTAGAGACAACCAGGAACCGTCATGTTGGACCATTTTCATTCCCGTGTAGGTGCATTTCATTCTGTCTGATGACCCCATCTGCCATTTAGCATTTTATACATGCATTCCTCTTTTATTCGACGTGTATTATCCTTTTTATCGAGCTCTCCATGTTGTGAACGAACTGAGTGTACGTTCGGAGCAAATGTTTTTCCATCGTAGTCATAGAGTGATCTGTGTGTATGAGTGTGTGTGTGTGTGTGTGTATGTGTGGGGAGGGGGTTTGTTTTGCAGTCTCTACAGAGGAAAGTTGTAAAAAAATGATCATAGTGACAAAGTGGAGCCCTGCCTTGGGGATGTATAAAGGCAGGAGCTTTGAAGAACAGAACGGCACAATGGAGAGATGTAGTATCCTGTTAAACCCAACTGACTTCTGCCTTGTCATCTTTTTCGGGAGATTCCCAGCACACATGGCAGATCAAGAAGAGTTTGTTTTAAAAGGGAGAAGCATATTCCACTCTCTGCTGCCCTGAGCAACTGTGGCAGGCTCGAGTAATCGCATCCGACGACGCTCCGCCTTTACTTCCTGGGAATGTGTGAAGCTCTGCTGTTTCTCTGAGTGTCTTTATTTTTCAGTATCAAAGTCCAGGGTTAAAAGTGTTCACCTTACCCAGCGAATACATTACATTACATTACATTACATTACATTACATTAAGCTGACGCTTTTGTCCAAAGCAACTTACAATAAGTACATTCGACCAGGAAGACACAACCTTGAAGAAAACAGAATCATATAAGTACATCAGGTTTACAGAATACATCTAGACTGAGTAAGAAAGTGTTCTGTATTAGCAAGATTCTTCAAGGCCTCAGCCCCCAATCACAAGTCAGAAATCAGAGTACACACTAACATGGGCTTGAATATTTGTATGTACATTAGGGATGATGATGATGATAATAATCAAATTCTCACCAGGACCAACTGGTTTAGATACGGGCATCCAGTCATTAGAACTATACAATACAGAAAGCAGTCAATGGGATCCTCCAATGGAACTATCGACTAAAAAGACAGTAGAGCTAACCCAAAAACAAAACTTCGATTTATTTTTTTGTTTTGCTTTTAGAATTCAACATTAACCATGTGTTTATAACAGTGACAGCTTTCACTATACTTTTTCAGCTTGTGGGTTCGTAACAACTGGAGGTGGCCATGATGTGGGTTGATAAAATGCGAAACGGTTGTTTACGGAAAATAATGCGTCAACATGTGTCACTAACCCTAACCCTAACAAACAACAACAATCAAGTCATCATATAATGTAATCCAGGGACTATCTGTCAATAAAATGAAATAAATAATCGAAGTTCAAAATAAAGTGGAGTTTTTGTGAGGCAGTACATTACATTTGTCAACATTGTGTGATGGATAACATATTTAGGGCCCAGTAGTTAACACTGCTTTGGTTGTCACTGTTTTTAATCTGTTGGTTAACATATTCAATGTAAACCACTAACCTTGCAGCTAAACCTCAACTAGAGACCAGGAAAATAGGATATGACAGTCAGTGTTTTTAATAGTAATGTCGTTGTTATCTGAAGACATCAAACAGGGTTTTTTTTTTTTTATCAGAGCTGTATTTTCCCATTATCTGGGGATACTCATGTTCTTTCATGTCTGTTTCATCATGGAAGCCTTCAAACAGGCCTCTTAGACGAGACCAGAGATCATAAACTGGGGTATATTCTTTGTCTTTTTTCACAATGCCTTTTTTTAACGTTTGGTATAAATATTTGGGATAATGCAAGTGGTCAAACTCAATGTCAGAACCATTAAGAGGAAGCTGGTAAGCACCCTGGCATGGATTTACAGTATGTTAGATGAACAGATTGAACCACGACTCACCCAAACAGCTGGACTCCCTTCCAGATGTCTACCAACACATCAGTCCAACAGCTGGGTCACTGACGACGAAGTTTAAGGACAGCGATACTTCAACTTCCATTGTAGACTGATGGTAAAAACTAGAATGATCTATCAACGTTTAACATCAGTAATGTGTCTGTTTAGTAAACATTAATACAATTGGAAGAAAAAAAAGAGGAAAATGTTCAACTGTGGAATGTAAAATCACAACAAAATAAATCTCATCGGTGTGTTTACTAAAACTGCTGGTTGTCGTGAATTAGTGAGAAAAAGTATTTGGTAAAATGTCATTCTACAGGGCAACAGGAAGAGTGTTCTCAACAAGAGCAGAGGATGGTTACCTTAAAGGTCACCTGTTATGTAAAATTCACTTTTCATGTTTCATGTCTTTTATACATAAACATGTGTCCCCTCTGTGTAAAGAGATTCGGAAAGTTTCAGGAAAAAAGATTCTCTCTCTTTACATTTATATAAAAACCTGTCGAACGAGCTGATCAGATTTTGGCCACTTTATGATGTCATAATGTTTTTTTGACTTGTGTAACCATTAGCCAATCACCAACCAAGGTAACCCCCGCCCACCTTATCACCTGCATCTCCTCCTAGAGCACCATTGTGTTCTTTTAAACCAAACATCTTGCAGAGGGGCGTGGCCTAGCAGCAGCTCATTACCATTTAAAGCTACAGACACAGAATCAGCCCTTTTGAAACAGGGCTGAAACAGAGGGGTTTATGGGATGCTACAATGATCTGTTTGGTATTTAGAGCCAAACAATTCAGAGACATGTTTTGTATATACCTGAAACCTATAATATGTTGTTATACATATTTTAATAGGGGACCTTTAATATTGCTTACTGGTTATATGGATACAAGTCTTTGGTATTTACTTATGTATATTATGTCCTAGAACAAAGCGTGAACATTGGTAAGCTTGTTTGGACCACAGACCCTATGTCAGGCTTCTTACCACATACACATTTAAATGTAACATTGATATTCAGCTGAGGGAAACCGGAAATGCTAAAATGCTAACTCCCCTAATTTCCCAGTTTATGACTCAATCCTGCAACCCTCTATAACGGCACAATATCAGTGCTTCTCCATTGAGGCAGGTCCAGGACCAGTTCAGAGCCAAAGCACATTCAAACCAGTTTTTCCCGTTTACACTTCAGAGGGGCCAACTCCGGCACCAAATCCAAGCCTCGCCAGCACATGGACCCAAGTGAATACAGCTAAAAGAAGAACATGTTGTAGAATTTTAGAAATGTGTTGGAGAAGTGCTGCTCAATCTTGCTTTGAGTTAGCTCAGACGCAGTAAGGCAATTTTGCGCTAATGGGGAATTGGAGAATTGGGGAAAATCCAACCTTCTCTTTCTGTCTTAACTTGGGACGTGACTGTAATATGTCCGGCCTGGAGGTTAATTCCACTACAAAGGAGGATAAATAAAGTCCAAATAACACACTTTTTATTTTCTCTTTTATTTAATATTTAGTTCTATGTTTCACTCCTCCGCTCTTCATTTAAGACATGATGGACATTGTGAAAACATGTTAGATTGAATCAGTGTTTTAAGCGTTCAGTATTGTTAAAGTTTTCTGGACCTTATGAAAAAAGGACGATTAATTTTGAAGCCTGATCTAAAAACGTTTTTTTTTTAAATGTTTTAAATAGAGCTCTTTACTTTGAGTTAAAGGTGGAGTCTGGAGAAAGATTGTTGATATTCTCCTTGGTCGTGTTAAGACTGTAGCGAATAGTTGGACGTTTCTTCCTTAACATTGACATTCTAATTATTATTATTATTATTAATAACCATGCTGAGAGTCCATTTAAGTTAGTGTTTGGTTCAGAAAGCCAGCGGTTTTTTTCAGAGCTCCCCGTCTTCTCTGTGTGACCACTCAGAGAGCTTTTTGTTGAACTTTTCTCTGTGCTCCACAGTGTCCTGGCTGCGATGTTTTCATCTGACAATATTCTGCTTCAGTTTGTTTTTCTTGGTTTTTAGTCGTGCAATAGCTACTTTTTCACTGAGGCCAAAACCGCTTGCTCTCCTGCTCCCACACAAGATGGAAGAAAGCACCTGTATTCACAAATTCTCAAAGCTATTGAAATCCTAAATATCATTTTTTAATGTGAAAAAGAATATCCTGTACAACCCTGGTTGCTCAGTCCAACTCACTTTCTTTGTTTTTATTCATGGAGGCAGGCCTATTTATAATCCAAGATGTGTTTTCAGCACACACTAAACTGAAAAAGTGTGTTGGATTAGAATCACAGACTCCACCTTTACATATGTAACAGCTGACACGTTCAACATATAAAGGCTAAGATCTCTCCTGTCTGAAGAAGTACAGATCACCTGACCTCAGAGCAGCAGTGACTGCCTTTAATGTCAGCAGTCCTGATGCAGCTGAGCTTTAAGCTGTCATGTGAATCTGGGACGAGGGTCTCTGCAGACGGCTGACAGGGGGAACCACAGACTGCTGACCCCATGGATGTGGCTGACCCTCGTCTGAGAAACTCCACTTCCTGTCCAGCTCCAGAGGCTCGGCTGATTCATCTCCCATGACACACGCGGGATTTCTACCCAGATACACACCTTTTGTTTTTGTAGCATGTGGAACAGATCCAAACCTATTTAGCGCCCACGTCTACAAGGACACACATTACAGTTCATGTTTTCAGAAACCCAAAGTAGGGTTAGGGTTACCTAAACTATTGTTTTTTAAATTTCTTGACATTCTTTAAATTTAAACTGTTGTCCCTTCCACTTTAGCAGTGTCTTTTCTCATAGTCAGTATCGTGTGGGAGAAAAATGATCGATGCAGCAGAACCACATCTTTTTAATTGCATTTCCGTCGTTAAATCCTGGCTCCTATTACCCACAATGCAACGTGACCACTGGCAGTTTATTCAGACGTGTTATGTTTCCACTATGATATATAGCTGGCATCTACTTTTAAAGTGATTTGACTCCTGATTTTTAGAGAACTTCCCCAGAAAATGACTATTTGCATATCCATCAGCCAGCCCATGTTGCCAATGTGAAGGAAGGATTCATAAACCTTGAGGAATTGAATGCAATGGCGACTTGGTTAATTTAACAATTGGTTGCATAAGACTTGGGTTATTCTGCCCAAGTAGTAGAACAGGTGGTAAATAGATGCGTCCACTAACTTACATTCATCAAGACATTTTTTGGTTTTCTTTTTATTCTTCACTCATTGCTTGAATTCAAGGTCACACAGGTGACAAATAGATATATATATATTATCTTTCCTCCCTTAAGCACAAATCTGATCTGCTCTTATAAGGCTGCTATAGGCTAATGAACATTAAACCCTAAGTGATTGTGCAATGGGAGGGGCCCACACGTCTGGATCAGCGATTACTTGATAGGCATTCTTTTCGCAAACAAATTATAATCTGTTTCTAAGTTTGGCCAAAGACCATTTTCCACACTGTCGCAGGCTAAAAGCACTACCAAGTACCATCTTATCTTACCCACATTGAAATGAGTGGGGAAACACATTTAGTTTGAATGGATTATGAATCAGTGCCTGTGCACTCTCAACAGTAGACTTGTAGATTAAGTAGTGTTACAAATAGTTTTGAGCTCTCTCCAATATCTTGTATATATATATATTCATAACTGTGCTGCTCCTTAAACCCTATCAAACTAAACCTTCAGTAACTTGATTAGCAGTTGATTCTCAGATGAAGTTTTTCTAAATGACTTTCCTCCAGAGTTAATGAAAACAGCTTTTGATATTCAATGGTAAATCACATGAGTCAGCAGGTTTTATTTCAAAGCATCTCTCAAACACACTTTGTCAACATGATGTCTGTAATGGACCATGTGGTTACAAATACTTCTTCAGATTCAGGAAATGGCTTCAGATCGTTTCTCTCTGTCAGCAGGACTTCCTGATCATGATGCATTAGGGGGGGGCGGGGGTAGCTTGAGACCAAATCGAACAACCAATTAGAAACCAAGACAAGAAACACACAAGCTCTTGTGGAGAAAGAAATATTATATTATATTATTAGTCGTTAATATTTTTGTATCTGCTGATTGGCCGTGGGTCATGTGATTTGTGTAGGGTCCCTAATGGCGGTCGATATCGGCGCTCTGTAGCAGGTCCGCCTGCGTCTGAGTGGGGGGTCTGAAGGCTGTCTGGAAGCCGGGTGGGGGGGAGTGGAAGTGGGTGCTGGGGGTGGAGAAGTGTGCCCAGCTGGCTCTGTGGGGGGGGGGCTGGCCCCCGTAGGAGCCGTTGTGTGAGGCGGAGCTGGGCGGGGGGGCATCGTTATCTGTGAGCGTCTGCAGGGACTTGAGCCAGTGGGGGGGGTTGTCGTCCTGAAGAGAG